AAATTGTATTTACAACACTGTTCCAGAACAGTTCAACCCAAATATTCAGATGTGTGCAGCACATTTTATGGAGGACTGTTTCCTGATCCTGGTAGAGTATACTACAATGCCGGCTGTTCTGACTCATGGACTGTAAGTATGTTTTCATTTAAAGGATTTGCCACTGATGATTCAAATGCGAGTTTTGAGCAGTGTAGAGTAGCACTTTTTGTTTGTCGTTTCTCCGATCACAAATGCAGACATGGTTTTATGTTTACGCGGCATGATGCAATGCAACGCTTAAAAAGACAGTATAAGTCATTATAATCCGTAATTATGTCCCCACTGGATGCAACAAATGCCTCGTTTATAATGGGTTTTATTGTTTTGTCTCATCGCGGCATCACAGTATGGTAAGGGGCGTAACATTTCCTTCACATGCTTTAGGTATTCGGCCAATCACAACGCACTGGATAGCTGGCCAATCAGAGCACACCTCGCTTTTCAGACCGATGAGCTTTGTAAAAATCGACGCGTTTCAGAAAGGCTGGGCATAGAGGAGAAACAATAATGTACAGTATGTGGAAAATAATGTTTTTAAACCTTAAACTGCATAAACACATTTCATTACACCAAATACACAAAACAATGTTCTTTTTTAGCAACGTCATATGACCCCTTTAAGTGAATTCTGAGGAGCCGTATAGGTCGCAGCGGACACTTACTTGGACACGGAGCAAGCAGACATGATCTGATGCTCTCGGGCTTGATGTCCATGCAGATGCCGATGGCATTATCAGGGGTGCTGCACAGGACTTGCCGCTCCTGAGTCCCATTACCACAGGTCACTGAGCACTGCACACACATGCAGAACATAAAAACATATACAGTAGCAGAATGGGACGCAGTAACAAGGTAACATTGATAAACCTACACTACAGGTGTTTTGAAAAAAGCCTCATGCTTACCAAGGCTGCATATATTTGATCAAAAATAGTAATAGTAATAATACAAATAGTAATATTTGGAAAATAGTTTTACAATTTAAAATGACTGTTTTCTATTTTAATATATATTTTAAAATGTAATTATGGCAAAGCTGAATTTTCAGCAGCCATTACTCCAGTCTTCCGTGTCACATGATCCTTCAGGTATCATTCTAATATGTTGATTTGGTGCTCGGTTATTATCAGCATTGCCATCACAGGAATAGACTGCATTTTATAATGTATTAAAATAGAAAACAGTTATAGTGTGCCAGTAGTGTACATTCACAATGTATTAAGACTTTGAGAATAAGTTATGACATTACGTGAATAATGGCATAATGTTTTGAGAAGAAGGTTGTTATGTTAAAGCTGCAGTCCGTAACTTTTGGCGCTCTAGCGGTTAATAAACAGAAATGAGTGCGTCTTGCAGAAGAACATTGTAGCCGGAGCTACTTCTCTCCGTTTATGTCTATGGCGAATCACGCAGGTACTGGGCTACTCCGCAGCGGTACCTACCCGAACCAGTCTAAAATAGTCCGAATATAAACATTTATTATAGGTGTACCGTAGTGATTCAGGACAAGCCAAAAACACGGTTTGGAAAATGGATTCATGGTGTACTCGCTTATTATATACATTTTGAACACAAAAAAGTTACGGTCTGCAGCTTTAAAGTAGTAATATTTTGAGAATAAAATTTTGGGTGAACTATGCCTTTAACACAATGATGTTTCTTACTTTTAGCATCACTGACGCTAAAATACAGCAACTGATATAGATGCTGATACAAGAGTCTTTCTTTTAGAACATCACTGATATTCTGGCCAATAAGATGTTTGATAATAATTTTCATGTCATGGCCAACAATCAATAAATAAACGATATTACAATTATTATTTATTATTCTTTTTATTACCATTTCATCTAAAATAAATAAAAAATAAAGCAGTAAACACTACAATCAATAATTGATTTTATATTTAGGCATATTATCATTATAATATCATAATATACAGTATGACAAATTGATATCCGTTTTGTGATTTAATAGTGTTATTAAATGGGACACATTAATCAAAATGTTTTTATGTGAGTGTTAGATAAAGGTAATCTAAATGTAAAAATGTGCATGAAAAATGAAATATCCAACTCTTAAACTTTAATCTCACTCATACTTACCTGAGACCAAGGTCCAGTTCTCCACTGTGCAGGGCATAGCTGACGGTTACAGGGTCGTCGCCCTTCAGGCCGGTCGTCATTGCAATACTTAGCATTGATGGCTTTGTATGAACCGTCCAGTTCAGATCTCACACAGCGCACGGGTCGGGTCTGAGAACCGGTCTTACCACATGATTTACTGCACTCCTCCCATTCTCCTGTCACCCAGCTGAAATACATAAGACACATTTAAAAAAAGTTCACTAACCCCTCATACCCTTACACCATCATCCATAACTCATTTAGACATTAACCTTACAACTGTATGATATTGGTTTGCAAACTACCATATGGTGAACCTCGTTTGCTTACATTGGTTCTGAGCACTCCTTCTGGTTGCAGGCTCGACTGATGGCGCGAGGTTTGGGTATGTTGGCGCAGAGTGTGCGGTGTACCATTTTGCCATCCGACTTCCTCCGGCACCCAAAACGTGTGTACTGTTTCACTACAAGCCAGACAAACAGACAAAACGCCACAATGCAAGCTGTTGTCTCCTACCACTGATCCAAGTTTCACTCAAAGCTCATGTCTGTCAGGGTTGTGCACGATTCAGAGTTGAATTAAGAATGAAATTCTTTTAGCAATTTTCTTCAACAGAATACAGAATGCAGAAATGCACTTTAAGGAATAATAATAATAATAAAACAATACTTTTTATTATGAATTACACATAAGCATACATTACCTTTTAAAAGTTTGGGGTCACTAATATTAGTTTTTTGAAAGAAATGAATACTTTTATTCAGATTTCTACTTAATATAAATGCTGTTCTTTTGAACTTTACATTTATCTTAAATCTTGAAAAAAACAAAAAAGTCTCACATTTCCACAAAGATATTAAGCAGCACAACTGTTTTCAACATTGATAATAATAGGAAATCAGTATATTATAATGATTTCTGAAGGATAATGTGCAGGGCAGGACTTACGGGGCCAGGGGCCCCTGGGCTTGAGGTTATGTTTGGGCCCCATACCTATAATACAACTGCCCTCAACTAGAACATTATTATGGAGTAACACAAAATACACAAACATTAAAATATGCTTTCAGGTTCATATACTGTATACAATTAATAGGCAACATGTCTAGCCTAGTCAAAGTTTAGATGTAATATTAAATAGTCACTATAATACAATAAACAGGATGTGATCTCTCAGTTGAGAGATCAAAACCCTGAAATAACACTGAGCAGAAAAAAACAAAGATTATTATGAAATATTATTATAAAAATGTATTGTCATATATGTGTCCTTTTATGTCAGATTCTTAAATGTAATAAATTCAATCTGAATAAAAAAACATGTTGGCTATTAACAATAAAATGAAATCATTATAAACAAAACCCATAGATGGATTTTGCACAAGTTATGTTAAGTTTAAATACATTTTAATGTAGAAATATTAAATGATTGCAAAAATGAAATAATTAGCTACTTTTTAAAATATGAAACTACAACCGCCAGTAGGTGGCAGCAAGTGACTGCCTTAATGAGTGAGTTGAATCCTTAAATCAACCGATTTGTTTAAAATGCTAATTCATTTAACTTAGCAAACGACTGTGCTTATACTCTGTTTGAACCATTTACTGGTCCATGTAATGCTGAGAAACAAAACACTGTGTTGCTCGGAGACGCATTGATGGGGCAAAACAGAATTTTGTGTCTGAAAGTTACTCAGTAACTTGTTGTTTATTGTACATTTGCGATCGTGCAGATATTCGGAAAAACAGGACTCTAGTTTGTGTGA